ACGTGGATGACACTTTTGTCATCTGGCCACATGGCCGGCCTGCTCTGGACCAATTCTTCGACCACATCAATTCCATACACCCAGCCATCAGATTTACCATGGAAGTCGAAAAAGATGGCAAGCTACCTTTTTTGGATGTCCTAATTAAAAAAGAGACCTGATGGTTCAATGAGCCACTCTGTCTACAGGAAAGCTACCCATACGGATGCTTATCTAAAACCGGATTCCCACCATCATCCATCACAGAAGAATTCTCTCATCAAGACTCTGTACCATAGAGCCCAATGCATATCCGACCAGGAACACATAGGCAGTGAACTCAAGCACGTACACCAAGCTCTTAAGGCTAATGGTTACTCCGACTATACAATCCGCAAAGCTATCACTCAAACCATGAAGAAGGACCCTCTTGAGGAGCCTTTCAAAACCATCACTTTACCCTACATTGCGGGGATCACAAAAAAGATCTCCAAAATCTTGAATAAACACAAGATCCAGGTCCGTTTCAACACATTACATAAAATCCATGATCTGGTTCCGTCTGTAAAAGATGTGATTCCGGACATACAGTACCCTGGTGTCTACAAACTAAGTTGCCTCTGTGGTAGTAGTTACATTGGAGAAACGAAATGCCATGTCTCGGACCGCATTCGTGAACACAAAGCAGACCTTAAACACGGTAGGACCAACACCTCGGCCGTGGCAGATCATTGTTATAATTCAGTGGGCTCACATGACATTGACTTTTCCAAGACAGAGGTTCTTTGTAAGCCATCTGGCTACCATGAGAGATTCGTTCATGAGGCTATCCACATATACAAGCACAGAGACAATTTCAACCGAGAAGATGGATTCTGGCTTAGCAATCATTGGAAAAATTTGATAAACCATTTCAGGTCTTAATTGATTGTTCACGCTTACAGTGGCTTTCAGACAGCATACATTAATTTTTCGTCTCCCCCCTCCTCTTTTCAGAACATAGATGGACTAGTCCTTCTAAATAAACTGCCAAATCGCTGCGCGTGGCGCTGACGTTTTTTATACATAAATAAATACACCGTTTAAAAATAAATAAATTTATGCAAACCGACACACCTGATGATGACCGTTTGTGTTATGGTCGAAACGTCGTGACAATTTTTATTGTTTATATATATTTTATTATTTTATTTTTTCCCTTCAACGTGACTTTACCGAAAGAGCTAAGATTATAAAAAAACACACTGATAATATGATGCATTGTCCTTGAAACTGATTGGTCCACACCAGCGACAGCTTTCTTTAGAGCCTCGTCTCAATTGGTGCTAGACCAGAGGACGCCAAAAGGCCAAAAGGCGTCATCTGGTCGAGCACCAATTGAGACGAGGCTCTAAAGAAAGCTGCCTCTGGTGTGGACCAATCAGTTTCAAGGGCAATGCATATATTATAGTGTGTTTTTTGTTTGCATTTTGACTGCAAGTATTGTGGTTAATGCAGACATGAATCCTCGTAAAAAGGTTTCAGTTTTGTTGCCAGATAAAAGGGGAAAAACCATATTATATTTTGGTACTGGCAAAGGAGGTCGAACGAGATAGTTCAGCACACCCGACGTGTTGGAAGGTAAACCCACAACATCGACAATTCGAGTACAGTGACGTTTCGCCCGTAATTGCAACCGGTATCAGGCGGCAGCCAGAGTTGTCAGAGAAATCCCCCTTCAGCCAAAGCCTCACGAGGTCAGCTCGTATCTAGAAGAGTGTTCCCATGCTGCACACGGATATGCTTTTCTCTTGCCATCGCTGATTTTTGCATCAAAGGAAAACGTCAAAAGGCGTGGAATCCTGGCTTTCACTAATAGTCAAAATCACGATTGGTTACACGTGCTCACGTGACTGTATTCCTCGCATTCCTGCGCTGGCCGCTTCTGTTAAACGGATATGCGTAATAGCGCAGCCGTTAAATGAGCTTCTTTCCTGCGGTCTGAAACCCAGCGTGCTCTGTGACAGCCACGTGTGCCACACGTCCGCTGCTCTCCCATTGCTACTGTGCATGAAGGAAACACGATTCTGGATTCAAATTAAAATATATATTTGTGCAGGGTCTTTTGTTTGAGGGCACAGCCAGTTCAATGAAGTCTTGAGTGCACGCATATAAATGGTATAAACCCCCTAGACATGCGCGTACGTTTTCAACGGCATTCTTTTTACAAAAAATGCATTAACATTTCAATGTCACTTTTTTTCCCAAGCAAAGATTATAAAAGCAGTAATACAAAAAGAAAATAAGAAACCCTTTTCTTGAGTGTTGTCGAGTGCCTCAAGCTTTACTTCGAAAGGCACACTTACAATTGAGAAATCGTAAAAGTTCCAACCGAATGTGGAGCACGGAAGCACCTCGGGCAGCTTTTTAAGCGACGGTATTCTTGTTAAGGAGAGCCGGGGTACGTTCATCATGTCGGTGCCAGGGAATTAAATTGGCAGATGGATAACGAATTCTGCACGGCGTTCCGACATGCTTCATCCGCTGATGGGAGCCATTGCATTTGCGGGAAATAGTTGCGTTTGTTATTTGGTAGGTACCTTTGTGTGTGTGTGTGTGCACCGGTCAAGTACGCCGGTACACTGCATTGTGTTTGTATAAATAGCAGTTGATACATTTTTGGCCATTGTGAAGGCGTTTGAGAACACATTTTAACATTGAAAAATACGTTTGCCTATGAATCCACGGTCGACAAAAACAACCAAGGGACGGTGTGCTGCCGAGTGCCGAGAGGACGAATCTAGTCAATGAAAATATCTCAAGCTCCCCGTTCGCCTGAAGAAAGTTGCCTTTTGTTCAGAAAACACGTCCAACCCTGGCAGACAATGACACGGGATCTGTAGTTGCTTGCATTGCAACAGCGGCGGGGTAAATCCACTTCAAAATTTTATCTGGCAGCTGTGGGAATTGCACCCCTGGACTCTGTCCCAGCAGCCTTTCCGTTGAGCACACCGCGCTGCATGTTGGTGCACGGGTCAATCGACAAAGCGGCGTGCGTGGCGTGAGGTGGGGTCAGGGATGTCGAGATGGGTTTTTTTTTTAAGGGGTTAACGCGGTGGCCATTATAAAGCGCCAAAGGCGGGAAGCTTTTAATTAAAGAAATAAAATAATAAAAGAGACGGACGCAGCTGTGACGGCTGACGTGGCACAGCGGGGCTATGGCTGGTGACCGGATTATGCAGACGGCGTCTGGAGGAGCCCTCCCCACCACCGCCCCCCCCCACCTTCTAGACAGTTGCCTCCCCCCACTACCCCCTCCGAATCCCCCCCCCCCGTCGCGTCAATCCGCAGGCTGCTCGGCATTGCACGCAGCCGCCCCGCTCCCACCCCCAGCCCCCCCCCCCGGCGCCGCACGGGCGACGTGACATTATCTTGCTGTGGATTTCCTCGTTCTGCCCCCGAACCCTCAGGTGTATTGCCTCTTTCTTGCACTTGTTTAATCTATCTACTTTTTTTTTTACAATTGTCAATTTGCATAGTCCATTGTCCGTTAATAACAAATATTCGTTTTTCTTTTAATCTCGCGCCCTTTACGCCCGAGCGTCCCGCCGCGCTTTGCTCACAAATCGAGAGTCCGAATTGTTCTTTTGGGGGGGGGGGGGGGGGGTGGGGGGCACTGCATTTCTGCCAAAATTCGGTGGAGAAATGGCCAAATTTGTTGCTTGACGACAGTGACTTGGTCGTTTTATCGCTGATACATTTCAACAAACACTGACCTTTGTTTATTGTTTTCCCCCCTACCTGCTGAGTGTCATTTTCAGTGTCTTTTATACACAGCAGGGTCACTGCCCCCCCCCCCCCCCCTTAACTAAAGATCTTGCCAAAAGGCCACAGAATCGTGCGGTTTGCCACACCATAACGCCCACCCCTCCTCTCCCCCCGCGTATCTCACACTCCGCCACTTACCACTGTGTGAAGAACGCGACACTTGCCCGCGCTCAATGTTTGTACCCCTGGCGCCGCTGATTCACGGGGGGGGGGGGGGGGGAGCACATTCTCAGCCATGCATAGCTACAGATGTCGTCGGCCATGCTAGAAAGCGTACATTTGTAAGAGGGGAAAACATTCGCAAGTCAGAGACGTTATGTTGGCCGCGAAGACAAGTCGTTGGACGGGATGACGGCGAGTGATCGAGGCTAACAAACGAGTGACAGCGAAAGGCGCAAACTCGCCCCAAAGGATATCCACCGCAGAGGTGGAGCAATGAAATCGGCTCGCGTGCAGCAGCTGATGCCACTTCAGCTTGACGGTTTAGGTGCGATACATTGATGAACAATGAACACTACCATCATTATCATCATCAGAGATGCTACACCCACTGCTGGATAAAGGTCCTCGCCGTGCCGACGGCATCCCCCCTCGCGGTCCTGCCAAGCCACGATCCATCTCACTCGTGCGCACGAGCTGACCCCATTGGTCTCTGTGATGGGCATCATCTTGGGCACGTTCTTTCCATTGGCTGTTATTCAATCGCCAGTTTCATCCATTGGCCAGCATATCCCATCCAGTAATGTTCCCTGCCCAGGCCCATTTACTAACCTTAACAATAAATGTATGTTAATTTGCATTTGTTCTCCGATTCACGTGCACCTCTTTCTGCGTCTCGGTATAATTCGAAGCTTCCTTGGACGCTTAAGCTTTGAATGCATCTTCCTTGTCGGTGTCCACGTTCCCGGTCCGTACGCTATCGCGAGTGCTCCGAACAGCGTGGGGCGAACTCTGTAAGCGAAGCAGTTCAATTGAGCAGGGCATAAATCTGCCCAACATAGACGGCTCCCTGCTGGGAGAGTGCACTGTCGCGTCCGTGTGGAACCGCAGGTGCTGCACGTCGGCGCCAGGCGAGATGTCGCCAGCGCGTTCTGCGAATTGCGCCAGCGGTCTTTGTGCATTTGTTGGAGGTGTCGCGCGTGTCGGGTGAAATGTGCGGCCAGCAACCCCGCTGATTTTTAGAGTGCACTCTCCCGTCTCTCTTTTATACCCAGGTGGTACACGTGCATGCTGGGTAAAAAGTGCAGTCTGGCGCCGTTGAAGGAGGAGCTACGGAGATGTGGGGTGAGTGTTTTAAAAAAAAAATGCGCAGAATAACAAGTGTTGTCTTCATTCGTTAAGCACCTCATTTGCATCGCCTATTTGCGGTCCGCGCTCTCATTACCGCTTTGTTGTCCTCACGCTACTGCCCAAAGACGGACGTGCTCTCGAGTCATCGCTCTGCCGCTTGTCTCGCACATTTTACGCGATTGCAGAACCCTTTAAGAACTTTATCTTTGCCGAGCTCTGGCATTGCAATCGCGCACAAATAAAAAAAAAACACGCGTCTATTTGATCGTAATTTCATCCAGCAGCGCGGCCAAACGAAGATTAGTTTTTTCCTTAAACGCTCGGGCGGTTACCATCGCTGGATGCAACCGCAAGTATTGCACACAACACATGGAACAGTCTCACGCCTCCTTACTTGACCTGCCCGTGCTTTCATTATTATTCCAAGTTTGAATTGAGCATTAAAGACCCAATGTGTCACGCAGCATATATGATAATTGCTGCACACGACGGAACGCGCTGCTGTTGTTCTTTAGGCCGTACTCCCTAAGAGCAAAATCAATTCGCACATAAAGTATAGATTTGGCGACCAGGGCCGTGTCATTGTTGGTGGCTGTCACGGGGGTTGGTGGGGGGGGGCGAGGAGGGGGGGGTAGTGCAGGTAAGGGCAGAGGCAGCTGCACTTCGATAGGAGCCTGCTGAGGGATATGAGAAATCAAACTGTGACCACCAGCTGCTCTGCACCCTTTAGAAGTCTCTTCATGCCCTTTTTTCAATCGCCCCATTCTACTTCACCATAACCATTGGCCGTGATCCATCTACTGTTGGATGAAGGCCTCCCTGATCTTGTGATACGCCGGTGCATCCAGCTCCTGCCCGCCTCTCACTGCTTTATCATTGCATTGAGGATGTCCCCCACAGAGGTTTTAGATTTCCCCCCCCCCCTTTGGCCGCCACTCCCATCTTTTAGTATCGACCAACGGGAATCGTCCTTTCTAGCCATGTGGCCTACCCAAGCCCGTGCACTTTTTGCATATCAATAAATCAATGAAGTCTTTATTTCTATAGCATTATTTCGTGCAAAGGATGCCATTCAAAGTGATGTACAGATTTAAAAAAAAAACATTTTGAAAGGCCTCCGATCCATGTGGTCCTTTTTGTCGTGCTGTGCAGTTTCAAGGCTGCACCGCTCCGTAGTTCATTGGGCGCTTTTGGCACCAGGAGCTCTGACTCAAGTGCACCATCAGGAACTGATTTCTCTTCGCCTGAAAAACAGTGTTTTGCCTGGGATGCGTGAATTATTTTGGAATAGAGATCTGCATTTTGCAGGACTGTGAGGGATGGCGATGACTTTCGGGGGGCCATCGTGCAGCAGTTGATCGATCTTGGCTGATGATGTGGTGAAATAGATATGCAGAACATTCCTTCGCTAAATTTAAGCTTCCATCTCTGTCATGTGTTACGCTTTCATCTTCTTCTCCAAGGGCTCACATTTATCAATTGCCAATCTACCTTTTTGCTTCTTTCATGTCCCCAGTTGCTTGCTTATGACATCTTTAATCGTGCACGTGTTGCATTCTCTGATTGCTCTGGATATTTATCCTTTTAATATTGTGTGCTTTCACCTAATTTGTTCTCTGCTTTTTAACCTTTCCCTCACTTTCAATGGCCTATCTAGTACTGTGCTCGTAATTGAATCAATGAAAGTGGGCATATCCATTTTGTCCCGTTGTTCCTCTTGGAATTTGCATATTTTGCTGACCCACATGTAGACACGTGGTTTTCAATCCACTCCTGGATGCGGCCCTGCCCATTCTGTGTGGGATTATTTTGGGGGTTTGTTTAACTTTGCTTCACCACGCTGGTCCGTGCTGGTTGGTGAAGGTGGGCAGCATCGACGCAATAGCATAGAAGCACGGTACAGCGCTGGATTTTGCTGCACTATCACCTGCTGCCTTACAGCGTAGCCCGGCAAGCCCTACTACAATCTGTGCATGGTGTTCCCCCATCCAAGCACGATCCAGGCTCTCAACCCTGCTCGGTTTCCGCGGTCTGATGGGATTTGGGTGCGTTCCGGCTGATTTCGGCATAGTCGGTCGAAAGTTGGCTACTTCTTCACCTTGATTTTTTGAAGTTACATACCGTTCACTTCATTCTATTCACTTTTTTTAATTTGTATTCTTATTTTTACAATTAATGTGACTTTACCGAAAGAGCCAAAGAATTTGAATTCCCGCAGTCACGAAAGTTTTAAGTCAAAACGTTACGTACCATGTTTTTGCCTGTAATTAGCTTCTACCTCTCTGGCTAATGCTGCGGCCCACTGCCTGTGCTCATTTCGTCTAGAGCAGAAACGTTTCTCGCAGCTGAGGTTTGGCTGTTTAGTTTTCTCACGCTACACAAGCTGTGTAGGTATTTGTGAAATTTTCTCTGCTTTCCCCCCCCCCCCTTCTATCAAAATCTGATTTAAAATACGGATGTTGTCGGTGTTCGAGAAACCTTTTCTTAAATCGGCCTTGATCGTGAACACATTTACAATGAGGATATTAAGAAATTGATGTGGAATTCTATTCAAGGGTGCAAAAAACAGCACAATCCTTTCTTCAAACCTGGCAGTGTGCGTGAACTGTTACGATTGCGGTGTTATTGCATCCGTCTTGTCAAATTGCCTCTGTGAATAGTTAATCTAAAGCAAAGTTATGAGAATCAGTTTTAATGCGGCTTTTGATTGCTCTGGTTGCAAGTCACTGCATGCGCTATTGATAGCCCCTGTGTGAGTCTTGTGAAGGTTGCTCCTGTCCTCATCCGAGTCAAAGCCAATTCCCAGCCCCGTAGCCCGGAATGGGTTTTTTTCAGGATTTTTGAAGGTTAGGCATATCTCAAAGATTAGTGCCAGTGTTAAATATCTTATAGCACTCATCACATGGTTTATATGATCGTATGCCAGTGTATAGGCTAAATTCAGAGTAATTTATTCAGAATCAGAATCAGAAAGGGTTTTATTCGCCATGTAAGTTCACACCGACACGGAATTTACTTTGGCAGGATGGTGCATACATTCAACATATAGGAATCTAAAATCTTAAATAAGTTTTAAACAAGTCTTACTATAATGAGGGTTAAAAGTCTAACACCAAGGGGCTGAAGTATATAAAATTGAATAAATATCGAATATAAAATAGCTTTAAGATATAATAAAAAAATAAAAAATGCAAATAGGTTAACATTCATTTGTTACATTACCTGCGTTCCTAAATGCTTGACAATGCTGTGGACACCTTTAACGAAGCTTGCGGGACATCCCTCTGTGTACAATTCCACAACCAATTTCACCACTTTGAGATTTATTAATTATTGAATCATTACTATTTACATAAATAATAAATCCTACGGTTACCACGACTACATTTCATAAAATTCCCGACTTTTCTCATAATTCTAGACACCCTTAACGAAGCCTGTGGGAGATTCCTCTGTGTAAAATTGCCATAACGGCCAGACAACGATATACTCTACAGCACACGCAATATCCTTGACGCTGTTACTCCAATTTTGATTTGAGCACTGTTACTCCATTCTGTAGCCGTGCCATGTTGACCGGCTTCGATTGCGATCGGAATTTTACCCCAGTTGTGATTTTGGTTTGCAAAAGTGGCGAACAGCACCGATGGCCAGACGACTCGCGGGCGCACGGAGGCAGAGTGACAAAATCACTAATGGGGGGATGCAGCGAGATAAGGAAGCTCTCTCTCTCTGCCGCGTCGTCACACTCGGGGATATTTTAAAATCTGTTGTTAGGTGGCTGGGCCCCACAAGCGGTTCGCTTCGTAGCCTTTTAGTGTGTGAATGGCTGTCGGTGTGGTCGCAAGGCATGCATTGACTGATGAATCTTCTGGTCATCTCAGCCAACCCATGGCACCTAGGTCTGTCCCGTGACCGCCTGTCAACGAGCCTTCGACACTTCACGTGGCCTCAAAGTGCACATAGCCTGGCACAAGCGCCATGGTGATGTCATCACCACGTAGTGACTAATGGCAGTTGTTGTAAGGCATGTACTGGTTTGACCCCCTTCTCCAGCGGCGATTCAATGAATTTTCATAATTTAAGGGTCATTTGTATTCTCATATGACATATTTTGTTCGTACAATCTTCTTTTTTTATTGCTCCCTTAGTCTAATTTTAACATCGTAAAATTTAGTTAATTGATGCTTGTATCATAAGTGTAATAATCAGTTTTAATCGACAAATTAATCAATCGTGAACCAGTAGAAGTCGACTCCTAATCAAGTGGCAGTGTACATTTGTACGCACTTCTCTCGCGAAAATTAGGCCCAAGTATTTAATTCTCGTGTGTGTGTTTTTTCATTTAAATATTTTCACTCTAAGGTTGTTGGTTTCAATCGATCCGTCAAATCCTTTGCGGCGGGTGAGAAAGGCCACCATTGCAAAATTTCTTTTTAGCAGGGAGGATCTGGTGAAAAACGTGGTGTGGTGGGAGCTTTACGTGCACATTGTGTTGATATTTGCACTTAGGGGATTTTGCTTAAACAATTGCCTATGGGTTCGCCAGTCCATACGCTGCCCCTGGTGAGGTCGCGAATGCACACCCGCAGACGCACTTTGTATGGAATCTCTGCGCAGGCAGAGCCAATTTGAGATCTGGCTGTGCTACAATACTGGCACGACAAAAGGTGCGTTCACTAAGAACACCTCCTAAAAGTTAATCTTCTCTTAATCATTGCATGTGTGTGTGGCCACGGTTAATGTCGGTGGAAAGCAATATCTGAACTGATTTGGGTCCTTTCCATGGTTCACTTTGCTTTAAACCTGGTCCAGCATTCCCAGCAGCATTTGTGAGAGGCTGAATGTGGGCGGTGGGGGGGAAATCTCTGTTAATGTGTGTGCATCCTTACCAGATGTTTTTGTGTTAGATGGCATAAATATAAATGTGGTGTTAAACGCGCCACCAACCGGCCAAAAGCCAATTAGTAAGGTCTGTCACGTAAACAAACATGCTAGTACTACTAGTAAATAATTGGCATGTTTTGCTTACATACTAGTAGTGCTAGTAACAAATTGGCATGTTTTGTTTACGTGACAAACCTTGCTAATTGGCTGTCAGGTGGTGGCGCGCTTAACGACACATGTACATTCACGCGATCTAACCCAAAAAACTATTGGTCGCGAAAGCCTAAGTGTTAAACTTGTGTGGATGTTTGCGTGTGTGCGTGCATGTTTTGTGCGTGTAATTGTGTGCTTGTTTGTACGTGTTTTTTTTTTCCGTGTCATGCTTGTGTGTTTTGTTTGGGCAGGTGCCACGAACAACCACCACCACATTCTGCCAAGGTCGCACTATGCGTTGGGCCCTCGCCTGGAGCTTCCACCACAACCTCGCTGTGCCGGTCAGAGCCTTCCCACCTCCTCCTCCTCCTCCTCCCCCTTCACACACCCCCTCACTCAAGCTTTTATTTGTTCTCCCTTTGGGTTGAGAACATTCGCTAGGGCAGGACCCCCCCCCCCCGGTGTGGAGCTGGTGGGGGATCTCTTTGCTCACATTTCAGCTGTCATTTTTTGCGTGTGGATTTTGAGTTGTTCTCTCCGTTGCGACCTGCTGCGGAAGCACGGCGGTTTTGCCAAGGTGCGTCGACGTCGTCGTCGTTGTTCCTTGTGACCCCGTGGTCACGAAGCCGAGGTTTAATCGTGGCTTCGTGCTGCTGTCCCCACGCACAGTCACCCCCCGCCAAGCGGCGGAAGCTGGACAATCAGAAAAAGCCGATCACGTTCTTTGTTGCCGCCGCCGCCGCCGCCGCCACCGGCGGCGACACGGGGCAGCAGCTGCCCACTCGCGACGTGCCGCCCCCTAGTCCGGTGGAGCGTGTCTCCGTGCATCTCGAGACGCTCCTCGCCGAGTTGAAGGTAACGTCGTTCGCCGGGTGTTGAACCTGCGGGGTTTTTTTTTGTCGTCGTCGGCGACCGTATTAGTATTCATCCTTTTTAGCATATTGAATATTTTGGAAGTTTCAGGTACGTCTGTTCTGGGCTCGTCGTGATGTGCACAACTCACTAATGTGCAGCATACATGTTCAGACAGCTGCTGGATTTTTAACCCTCAACTTTGTTTGATACTGACTCTGTAGTTGGTGTACTGCCCGCATAGAATATCCAGTACCCTAAAAGAGAGTTGAAAAGTGATTGCAGCGATGGATCTTTCATTTGGACAATTTTCATTTTATTTTAAACGATCTCTTCCGGTGATATTTAAAATCTGGTAAAGAAAATGCTTCCGGTGTGCTCAGGTGCAACACAGACGTGTGCCGTGCGGGACGGGTGAAGTCAGCCTCATGCTCACGGCTCCAGAGAACACGTGGATCCACTTGCGTCGCAAACGCCGGCAGTCGCTGCAGACCAACGATGCGCCGGAGCCCCCCGAGAGCTGTTCCACACAGGCCCCGACACTCAAACAAGACAGCCGCTCGCCCGCAAAACACAGCAGTTCCGACGAATCTGATCCAAAAGCACCCTCGTCAACATCGCCGCAACCGCAACCACCACCACCACCACAACTGTCGTCGGCACAGCAGCCAGACCAGGACGAGCAGAGCAGTGGTCAGGGGTCCTCGAGGGATGATGGGACGGAGCCGCACAAGAATGGGAAATGCATGGCTGCTTGGAAGCTCACGGAGGCCAACGAACCAAGGGAAGGCCGCGTCGCCGCAAGTGACGACGCGGCGGACTTGAGCGTCGGCGAAAAGGCGGTCGGCGTAAGTGGGGAGCCTCAGGGAACGCCGCCGGGTGGATTCGTGCTCAAATGCCAGGTGGTTGTGCGGGATGAGAGCAGGATGGTGCCTGCGGGTGGCGGCGGCGGCCATGGCCGTAGTGGCGACGTGGCGGTTGATATGTACTGGATAGACGGGCAACATCGTGAACTGCTTAACCAGCTGTCGTGCACTCTTCGCAACAAAATGCTCCGGCTCGGAGGGCAGCAGGCATTGTAAGGTGGCCTGCAACACCATCTTCACGTGTGGACTGTCCCCACCACCCATTATCATCCGTTAACCCCCCCCCACACCCCTGCTCTCGACATGAAGCAAACTTATACCAGCATTTTTGCACGGGTCACATTATGGGTAAAGTATTCGAAATCATTCTCTTTGTAGGAGCCTTCAAGACATAATTTTGCAGCATCATTTCAAAATAAATTGAAGCAAAAAAACTAATGATAATATACTGAAACAATTTTAATAGTGAAGTTAATGCTGGTGATGAAAGTTAATATTTTATTTAATCGGCTATAATAAATTACATATTCCCCAATGATAAAAGTTATTTTTAAAAAAAGAGGCATGTTGGAGCTTGTCATGTATGGAGGCAGAGGGTGTCTGTACCTACGCAAAAATATTAATTCAGACGGCCGATAGATTTTTTTTCCATCACTTTCCTATCCATGCACATTGAATTTAAACGCACACAGGCATCGCATCCACCTGTCTGTCAGTGACCTGCAGGTCATCCGTAACAGTGAAACAAAATGTCAGAAAAGAAACATACCAGACTGGAACAGCATGTTTGTGCCATGCCATGTGTGTGCCATGTTGGGGTAGCGTAGTGGCTTGTGTCCTCACTATTATAGGGCCAGTTTTCATGCAATCGGACGATGCATTTTATTTTGCCTGTTAATGTCTGTAGATGCCAGCATCTCCTTGGATAGTAGATGTTTCGAGACTTAATTTGTAATTTTAATTCAGAATTGGCGAAGCGATGTCAAATCCTACATCAAAAACGATGTTTTACTTGCAAATACACCTCAACAAATGATCATCTTCCGTTGACAACTGTAGTTGCCAAAGGGTGCCGTGGTTTTTTTTCACGAGTGCTAATTCTCCGTTTGCGTCTCACTTGCTGAATATTTTTTTTTTAATTCTGGTGTTGTCGGAATGTAGTTAAAGGAGGAGTAAGGGGGGGGGGGCATTTACTTCAAGGACTAGAGTAAGCGGGGGAGGCTCCTTATCAAGGTGAAGGCTCAGGAAAGGATTTGAGACATCTGGCACGCGGTCCAAGGCGTGAAGCTGCTTAACGCCTAAAAGCTCGAGGAGATTGCATAAAGCAAAGTCGCAGCCTCTTCAATGCCACGGTTAATATTTCTGATGTAAGGCTCAAGGCCCAGGAAACACGAGACCACTTTGTCTTGTCCAAGCAAGTATCAAATTGGCGTCAGGCACCAGAACAAGACGACGAACTCCCTTCTGTCTGGAATGCGTTTTGTTTGTTCCGATGTCACCAGACCTTCCTGGCTCGTTGTGTGAAGTGTATCGACAGCTTGGTCTGAATGAGACTTTTTTTTTTCCTTGTAAACTTCAAATAATAAAACCAATATCATCGGAAGTAGTCCACAACAAAGGGATCATTGTTGAAACAAATAATTCGTGTATTTACCCTTGTTAAGGCATTGTTCTTTTGATGACAATGCAGTGGCACGTTCCAGACATGGGCCTGGAAACCTGACGCCGTGCTTCACTTGGTTATCCAATGTAACGGATCACGCAGGTAAAGGACCCAATTTATTATTGGCTGCATTGACCTGACATCTATTCCAATACGGTAAAACCTTGGATTGCGAGTAACTTGGTCTGCGCGAGTGTTTTGCAAGACGAGCAAAAAATGTAAGTAAATATTTTTGTTGATAAACGAGCGAGGTCTTGCCAATATGAGCAGCACGTCGACGCTTTGTCCACCGAGCGTCACGTGATCACGACTGATATACGAGTGCTTTGGATTACAAACACGTTTCCGGAACGAATTATGCTCGCACTCCAAGGCTTTACTGTGTATGCCACCTGCCTGATATCGAGTCTCTTGGTCCTTAGTTTTAAACTGCATGGTGGCCTCATGTCCTCAGGGCTCGAGAGGCCACTTGCCCCCAGGGCACCCTGATGGCCTCGCCGACTGCCACTCGGCATTTGATTCGTGTAAGGATTTTTTTTTTTTTTGCTGGGCCAGGTCGTGGAAGAGTGAGTGGTGGCTTGGCCACATTTAACTTTGCGTTTCCGTGAAGCCAGTGTTCGAACAAGCAAAAATGTTAAACATTTGTTACGCGACTTTTACAAAATGCTAATTATGCTTCGTTTATCCATACAGTGGTCACCGACAAGTACTGATCATCGACTTTAGAACACCATTCCAGTGCCTAGCACTTGGAGAATTTAGCCAATGCGGGGGGGGGGGGGGGGTTTAGTCCCTCGTCTATAATGACTAATTAAGCTGATATTAAATGCGCCTTTTGTACGTCGTGCTAGGCATCACCGCCCCCACACTCTCCCCCTGACAACATCTCTGCTACATGCCCCCCACCAGGGCAATCCACACGCACACACCAATACCAACAGCCGCCATTCGCTGTTAAGTGACGGTGACGTCACCACGGCGCCCGTGCCAGGCTGGGTGCACTTTGAGGTCACGTGACGTGTCGAAGGCTCGCTGACAGGAGGAGGTCACGGGACAGACCCAGGTGCCATGGGTTGGCTGAGATGACCAGAAGATGCATCGGCCGGTACCCCCCGACTGTGCCAGCTTTTGCTGCATTTTGGCCGCCCGGCGCTCCGCTCCTTGTGAGCGTCTCTCCTCTGCCCTCAGTTGTTGCTGCTGGAGGGCGACTGCCTCCCAACCGCTCAGCAGCGTCCTTCACGAGCCTCCTCCACACACACACCGATCACCACCCCCATGAGTCCCCACGGCACAACCCTCAAAGCATCGCCGCCTCGACCGTTGTCTCTCTCCCACCTAAAAAGTTCACCCCCCCGCCGTGTGTGGTGTGGGGGAGATCCGACCGCGCTTGTTGGTGGTTTTCCATTAACGCTTTTACCCCTCGCGTTCTGCCCCCCACCCAACCTCGTTCGATCTTACGCTTTTACCCCTTTTAAATTAAGCATGCATCGGCCAAGTTTCCCGAGTTCTGGCCACTGAAATGGTGTCTTCATTGATGGGAGCGTGTATCGTCAAGTGACCATTACGCATGCAAGATTGAAAATGAACTTTTATTTGTTATTAATGCTTTTGCTACGGATGTATTTAGAATGCGAATGTTCAGTAAAGCGGGCATCCGTTTTGCTGTTATGCCTGAATTTAGCATTTGGTCTATTGAGTGTACAACGTTAATTATGAACTGTTACCTCTTGAAAATGTGTTTTTGCAGAAACAGTGACGGGTGCGCGACCCTGCACTCAAACACGTTCACCGTGCGCCTGCTCATCAAAGGCAATATCTATCCCCAGGATGTGTCAGTGGGAGAGTGTGGTGTTGGGGCTAGAGGGCTACCTGCTGCTGCTGCGAGTGGGTTGTCAACTCTCAGCCTTTCACCCAGAGCCAAGCCCGCTCATGATTATCAAAACTATCATTGGGCGTGTCACACACGCACGTGTGTGTGTGGTGTGTCTTGGCTTGGCCACTCCGGACACGATGCAGTAAATTTACGGAGAGCTCCACGCACACCTCCGTTGGGTGGCGCATGAGGACTGTGGTCTCAAAATCTTGGTATTGTTGTCATCGGGTGAAACTTTAACACTTTAAAAACGTTTTATGCACCATTTCTAAAACGTCGTTTTGTATTTGCGCTATTTTTGTTGGGGTTTAGCCGAAGGCTAATGCAGTGGCGTCAACGGCAAATTACCCACGATGCATCGGTGTCCGTTTTATTGTTCACCAAGTTGCATGTGTCGACGCTTCTTTTGACGTTGAAATGTGACGAGTGAAACGAGAACAAAAACGGATTGTGAGCAAGAGATTCCCCTCCCCCCCCCATGCTGTGCGAACAGCCCTTGCCATATCGCTCATCCCGTCTAGGAAAGTTCATTGTCGTTCAGATGCTCGGTTGTTACGCGCTACGTTAACACCTTGCTGCGCGGCAGTGATTCCTGTTACCGTTTCCGAGTGCTTCCTATTTTTTTATTATTAATTGTTGTGGCTCGGTGGTGGTGTTTTTACACGAGTAGGGGCCTGCCTCTGTGCGAGTCCTTACAGTCAGGTTCTTACACTGCAGTAGAGGCCGACCGAAAGTGAATTTCTGGTTTCGGCCGAAACCGAAAGTAAAAAAATTACTTCGACCGAAAACGAAACTATGCCGAAATAGGCAATTTGCCAACTTTGGGCGCCGAAACCGAATTTCAGTCGGCCTCTACACTGCAGGTTGCGCCCCTGGCAGGTTCAGAACTTCAGCTGGGTCGAATGTGTGTGTGTGTACAAGTGTCTGTTCATTGCCTGTACAGGCAATATTTTCATTAGCGTGGCATTGCTTATATGTCTAAATATATAGTATATATTTTGTTCATGTACGTATTTTATAATCATATAATGTACACCAACCACTGACCATTGTCAGAGCAGACTCCCCTGACTTTAAAGATCTCGACACATTCGACAAGAAACACTGTGGCCTTGAGAAGGGGAAAAAAAAACTCATTACACGTGGCGTTTCTGACAAATGGCTCTTCATCGCTTTTGAGCAATCGGCCCTAGCAAAGAAAGGAACGGCCACTGCCTAAAACGACATTTGGAAATTAACCTCGGCCCCGCTCCTTTGCTGGACAACAAGAACTACAGATCAAGTGAGCATGGTTTAAACTGGGTGGTGTTTTTGTTTGTTGTCTCCGTAAGACAAGGAGGTAGAGTTTACATCTTCGCATGGGGGGGGGGGGGGTAGGTGCCTGTTGGCCATGGCGGATTTTTGCGGAAACAAAAAAAAGAACCCCGTGAAACTTCGGGCGTTGGAGAAAGAGCTGTTTTTTTTCCAGGTGCGCGTTGGGTGTGCAGCAAGCAAGGGCCACCAGCGATGGAAACGTTTTCTCAGAGCCAGGCGTGGGGTTTGAATATGCCTGCGACGGAGTGAATATTGGCTGCAGTGTTTGTGACCTATTGCAAAGCCAGAGGTGTCCTCGAAATGCACCATTTTCGCTCGCTTTTTAATTGCCATTGGCTGTTTTGCTTAAAAATATATTTGCTACGTTGACAATTAATTTTAGTCCTTTATCATCAAGTTATGTACAATTGGTAAAAAAAAAAAATTCGTCCGGGTTTTGGTCGTTAAAAGTTATCAGCCAGCTTTTTTAGTAAAAAGAAAAATGTTACGATGTTTCTTTTACACTAATACTTGCTGTTATCGTGTCACATTCAAGCACATTCGTGCACATTGCCTTTCACCAAATGGATGACGTTATTTTCAAATACAATTTAGAGTTTAAAAAAACTATGCATTCCGTACGCTGATTCTCACGTTATTTATTTATACACATACATGGGTTTTCGCAGCCAAAATGCATCCCAATTGATATTTCGGGTGTTGGCCACAATGATCTGACCAAACTTGTGACGTTAAGATCCTCTGCTACTCTACAGGTAAACATATCGTCACGTGCACGAGCGTTTGATGTGCCAATTGTGTGTTGTTGTTTTGCCTACATTTAACACATCACATTGAGATACGGAAAAATAGAATGACTGAATCAGGCCAATACATTTGTTATTAACTAAGTGTAGCTTGACAACATTAAAACAAGTAGGTGATAAGTCAACAATCCAAAAGATATTCCGAATACTTCGTTTTACGTGTTCAGTCTAATGCTGGAGCGGAGGGCTCACGAGCAGCACAGATTTGGTCTGATCGTCATACGGCCTAACCGGGGGAGTACAAAGCTGGCCTCTAAACTAAGGCTGTCGGTCTAGAGCAGTGGTGCTTAACCTCAGGGTGCAATACAGGTTATAAGAACCAAATGGTGTGCAGACTGCATCGCCAGCTGTCACCACGGTAGTCAAGCAAAGGTCGCCTTCGCATGTTCCGTCGGACGTGACGATGCAAGGCCGGACAACTGGGAAGCCCCTACCGAGCTTTTGCCCAGACCGCTGGTGTTGGAGTTGCACTTGTGGCCCCCCACCCGGCAATCCAGCTCGAGTACATTTAGTAAATGTGCTAACTGAAAGAACGTCCTGTGGACGGTGACATCGACTCGACAAAAAACGACTGATTTTCACCTCGGTTACAAAGCCAGATTTTGCATGAGCAACAAGACCACACCCCTTACTAGACTGTTGAAACGAGTGCTCAGAGATAAGCATAAGTTGATGATTACAATTTAACGTAGTGTGATGCAGTTATCACAAATGCACGCCCGGCTTTACCTTGAGTTTGCAATGATGCTGGCCGTTCCAGAAATAGACGGTGGGCGTTATAAAGACCTCGTGATACAATGTGCAACAGTCTGTTAATGGTTAAGCGGCCTTGTCATTGTGCGAGTTAAGAGTTTAGAACATTGATCTGTAACATCTTCCCAGGCCTTACCGATAAAACTGTAATTATTTGCTTTTGTTCTTGGGTCGTGTTATTTGCTAATTGCTTATGCCTCAAAAGTACAGAAAATGGCTATTATTACAAATCTACCTATTTTCCAGAACATTCCAGATAGATTCAGTGCTGAGTAAACTTGGAGTAACTTCTAGAACATTCTAGAACTTTCCAGTAATATAATAGTATAAGTACAGGGGCCTTAAGCCCACCAGTTCAGTTTAGTTCCAGCTGCCTAAGTGGATACATATCTGAATTTTTCTGAGATGGCATCAAGAGGCTGCAAGCATCCGGCAGACGCATTTTGCTATGTCTGCAGCCAATTTATCAAGACAAGAGCAAAAAAGTACTCTGTGGAAGCGTCTGCTAAGATGTGTGAGGCCTCCAAGGTATATATCGGCATGCCTGTTGGGGATCAAGACAAATCCTGGGCACCTCATTTCACCTGCGAGCAATGCAAACAAACTCTGGAAGGTAAGATGGACAATTGTCGCTCGGAATTTTATGTTATACAATTTTGTTTAATTGTAAACGTTTTTCATTTTCAAATGTTTTACAATTTTCAATGTTATTGAGAAAAATATATTTGAAAAATGTTGCGAGAATCTCTTACACATTAGTCATGGGTGAAATAAATGTATGTTTGGAGGATGGTACAGCGGGGAAAAGAGAGCCATGAAATTCGCTTTCACAAGAATTTGGTGGGAACCCACTGATCACTCAAGCAACTGCTACTTCTGCATGGTGGACCCTTCCAAACGTCGGACTGGCAAGAATGCACCTGCTATCACGTATCGGGACCTTCCTTCATTGCCCCGGTGCCACACTGCCATGAGCTCCCCGTACCCACTCCTTCAGAGAGAGAGAGCAAGTCAGAGAGCGAGGAAGACATTGTAGATCCAGATGACAATTTCAGAGGTAGAGCTGAGGAGAGAAACCCAACTACCCCAACCAAAAAGACCTCAACTTGATCAGAGATCTTGGTCTCACCGAGTCCAATGCCGAGCTTTTGACGTCTAGGCTCAAGCAGTGGAACTTGTTGGATAAAAGTGTGCAATTCGCAGATCAGAGGAAGCGTCACCAACCTTTTTGCAGCTTCTTCACCCGTAAAGATGGGCTCTGCGTGTGCCACAGTGTGACCAGTCTGTTCGAGGCAATTGAATCGTCTATAACCAGAATGAGTGACGCCTCTTCATTGACAGCTCATCCAGGTGCCTCAAAGCCGTGCTGCTCCATAATGGTAACAAGCACCCGTCTCTTCCCTGGCTCACTCGGTGCACCTCAAAGAGGATTACAACAGCGTCAAGACCTTGCTGGACGCCTTAAAGTATGATGAGTACGACTGGGAAGTTATCGGAGACTTCAAAATGGTGGCATTCCTGATGGGTCTCCAAGGCGGTTTTACCAAGTTTCCCTGCTATCTTTGCCTTTGGGACAGCAGGGACACCAAGGCGCACTACCACAGGCAGGACTGACCACAGCAGACCGAGTTCTCTGTGGGGAGGAACAACGTAAATTGAGAGCCACTGGTGGACCCCCGGAAGGTGCTGATGCCACCACTGCACATCAAATTGGGGCTTATGAAACAATTTGTCAGAGCTGTCAGAGCTGTAGATGAAAGTGATTAACAGTATAATTATAAATCTCGAAAAACTACTCACTTCTAAATCTGTTCATAATAAAGGTTTTTGGGTTAGATCGCGTTTATTTATAAATGTGTCGTAACCCTCCACCACCCGACACGGCCAATCAGCAAAAAAGTGTCACGTTGACAAAAGACAAATAATTCACTACTTCAGCCCACCGGTGTGTTGAAGAGCTAATCCACATTTACAGTTTGAGTACGACGTTTCGCTGGTAAATACTTCCAGCATCATCGGGCAATTCGCCAGAATGGTAAAGCCCTCGCTTGCTCCCGGTTTTATATAGAGCAGCAGGGTGACGTCATCACTCAACTCATCAGGTGCAGTGATTAGAGGCGGAGGGGGGGGTAATGTAATTATATAATCGATTAGTAATCAGTCATTGGTTATGATTAGCAATGAGTTGTAGATTAGTAATTCTTTAAATCAAAATGTAATGTGTATTATTTAATAATACGCTTCCAGGCCGCACTAAGCCGGTAGCTGTCAGAGCGATTAAAGTTATTCTTGTTCCTCTCAATTTCAATGGATTCTCTAATTAGTCTTTGCCAGTAATAATTAGTTTTACACACCACTGCAACATTGTCAAAATCAATTGAGTGTCCTTGTTGACAAGCATGTTCTGCCACTGCCGACAGTTGTGTTTGAGATAATTTAATATTTCTCTGATGTTCTTTTAGTCTTACGCTGATGTTACGTCCCGTCTGCCCAATGTAGCAGCTGCCACATGAACAATTAATCCGATATACACCTTCTGTTGATAGTTTAGGTAATGCGTCTTTAGTGCAAGATACTAGTTTTTGAATTTTGTGTACTGTACCAAATCTTACTGTAATGTTTTGCTTTTGCAAAACGCGGGCTAATTTGTCAGTTACCGGCTTAGTGCGGCCTGGAAGCGTATTATTAAATAATACACATTACATTTTGATTTAAAGAATTACTAATCTACAACTCATTGCTAATCATAACCAATGACTAATTACTAATCGATTATATAATTACATTACCCCCCCCTCCGCCTCTAATCACTGCACCTGATGAGTTGAGTGATGACGTCACCCTGCTGCTCTATATAAAACCGGGAGCAAGCGAGGGCTTTACCATTCTGGCGAATTGCCCGATGATGCTGGAAGTATTTACCAGCGAAACGTCGTACTCAAACTGTAAATGTGGATTAGCTCTTCAACACACCGGTGGGCTGAAGTAGTGAATTATTTGTCTTTTGTCAACGTGACACTTTTTTGCTGATTGGCCGTGTCGGGTGGTGGAGGGTTACGACACATTTATAAATAAACGCGATCTAACCCAAAAACCTTTATTATGAATAATATTGGTCGCGAAAGCCTACGTGTTATTCTAAATCTGTTGTAGTCATTTTGTATTACTTTAGTATAAATACATGTTAATTTTGATTCATGTTGTTTTTTTTACTTTGTGAACGAAAAGACAAATTCGCCAGTTTTCTCATTGAAAATAGATAAAGTTCTAAATATCACTGTCCTGGTCATAAAAGCAAAGTTTGTGGGGAATAATAGTCATTTTCTATACTTTTTAGGCATAAGCAATTACGAAATAACACTTCCTACCCAGGAACAAAAATTGTTACATAGTGTAATTCATAGATCTCGGTGGGTTCCTAACCTGGTTATATAAAGGCTAACGTTTCAGGCAACTACTCTTCATTGACATAGGGACAGAAAGATGACAAGCATTTCCAAGTACAGATAATTATTTTACTGTGTTCATGGTATTTTGATCACATTCAAATACAGCACTAGCAATTGCTCTAATTACACCATTAAATGCAAAAAAAACATTATGCAACAACGCAAATGATTAACAAGTGAAAGTGTTCTGCAAAGGTTATGATTTGAAAGGCCACTTGCAAAGGGAATGATGCATGTACGTCGTATAACCTTTAACACTATTTTGAAAAGCCACTTAGCAAATTAGTTCCCTTAATTTTAGATGTACTATCTTTTACCAATTATTTTTTAATTGTGCTACTTGCATCTAGCAGCACCTCAAAGGTTGCCTTTCACAATCCCCACGACCGCCTTCTATTAAAGGCAACAGTCTTGACTTTAGAATGTGCCCAACATCCACGAAGGAGCTTTCTAATGCGAGCAATTTCAACCCTCGCTTCATCTGTGCTCGTGTGCCAAGTGAAGTCCTCTCGTCGGTTTTGTAAATAAATAAATTGAAAAACTGAAACTCGCTGACTCACACATCATACACTCACTACCATTGACTCACTCGCACATCATACACGGGGAGTGTCATGCCGACAGATATGGCTGCAAGTTTGTTCGTACATTTTATGCATATCGTTTATTGTTAAATTTGAATCAAAGTCCCTATGATTACTTTTGTTACATTGTATTTTATAGCTTAATTTTGGTGATTTCTAAAACATATGGTTAAGCCATGTTTCTTGCGGAAGTGCTGAGTTGGCCTGATAACTTGAATCTAAATTGTCTTATGGTTGTTATTGTTTGTCTTGCATCACACTGGGATTTTTGCACACAGCGTTGTAATAAAGTGTTTTTTTTCTGGAAGATTTGCTGGTTTATCCAGGATGTTTCTGTTGCGCGTCGTCGCTTTAAGATGTTCTCTTCATATTTTGTTTGTTGCGGTTGCACCCGACTCAAGAGCCGCATGGCTCACAGGGTTATACCTAATAAATTAAACTTTAAACTTGTAGAGAAACCCGGGTTTCATTTCTGGTGGAACGTGTGGCATTTGAAACCGGAATCTCAACGGCACCAGTTCCAGTGGCTCTCCTTCCATGGGTGGGGGACGCCATTTCGTCTTCACGAGCCATTCTCCGTTCCTCAAATTGAAGTTTTCCCTCACATTGTTGCAGGATCGGTTTGTGCAATTTCACGTGAATGCATCGAACCTATTTCTACCAAAAAAAAAATCGCTTCATGCGGTTTGAATTCCTTCGTACGCGGCTGGACATGGAAACACCATTGTGTGCGTGTGTGCTCTGTATTTGCTACTCAGCAGGCAGCTATCTCGTGAGGTTTTCCTTTGTGCACCATTTTCTTGGAATGCATCTACTACCGCATAAAGTGACGTAAACCTGCATCTAAAAATCTAATTTTCACACGCACGTGGTCTTGCACTCCCCCAACCCGTTTAATCGGCATCAAACTTGAACCATCTTTGTTTCCAATCCTTAGTAGCATTGGACTGATGTTCACCACATACCAGCTGACCTTCCACCTGACCAATGAAAATCAGTACTCTGGGCACGGAGCTCACACAAAAGCCATATGCCCGAGCCGTTGACCACTGCCTCAAGCCAAGCCCCCCACGATAATCGGCACCTCTCTCAACCTTTTTAATTCCACGGCACATTTCCCAGCCATCTCGATCTTTACGGCATACCAAACCAAAAAAACTATCACTGCGGTGGGCCTGGATAGGTGTTGAGAGGGCCAGTGGTGGGGGCTTGACGGCTGTCTCGTGCCGTACTGCGCCGTGACCAGTGGAGTGCGCAGAGACGGTGCCTGATGGGTGGGGGAGGCTGGATAGGCCACTGAACGGCACGGAGAGGTCGTCTGTCCCAGTTTGCAAACAAGAGATATTATTTTCACCCCTATAATTCCGAAAATACCACAGGCACAACCTGGGACTTTTCCGCAGTACGCCGGTTGCAAAGCACTCTTAATGTACAGCGAGCAAAGGGCTGCTGCTGCCTTTGCCACGACAATACACCAGCTTGAACTCACAAACATAGCTGCGGTAGACTTTTGGTCATTCTTTTAATCAAACATTTTCCACGTTTTATTCGTTACGAAGGCAGCATGGCCTAGGTTATGTCACGTGCCCCACTTGAATGGGATCGAGTTGCAGTTTTAATGAGACATCTACAAATGGTGGGGCCCCCCTATGTTGGCCCGTGAGCAATTCTGGTGTCTTGACAAACTCAATTCACTGTTTTGATTAACCTTTTTGCTCAAATAAGTACCTGTTCATCAATTAAGACTTCTTTGAAAATTCAAAGAATGAATAAGGAAGTGTGTACATCCTTCATATATCATACACTGCTCAAGACTAGCGAATAAATAATCTGCACATGACAATTCCAATCCAAACAGACGGCTCGAATCAGGATGCAACTGTGGAACCCAAGTTGATAAATAATATTGGCGACAGTGTGATGTTAAAGAACACCAACTACGCTATGGAATATGGGAAGTTTTTAAAATGTGGAAATATTTATTTTAATAAGTTATTGTTTCCAAATCATTCGTGGAATCTCGGTGATTTACAAGTGACTTTTGTAAGTGACAAAACCCAGGCTATACCGATCTCACACAGACTGGGGTCTGGCTGGCTGGTGGAATAACCCCCAACCGGTACCGTTTGTCCCAAATTATTATCAAGAGAGAGCGAGGGTTAAAGATTACATTTGTTTCAACACAACCCAGCGCCCTCCTCGATCCGACACAATAACCTTACACCTGACAGTGACCCATAAGTGCCTGATAATTATTATTATTCATATTTACACGTTAACAACAATGTTTGATGATGTACCTTTGAACGCATTTAGGAGCATTTCCTCTCAACGGTGCTAAGACAGAGTGCTGTGTGTAAACTCATGCCAGTCGCCTGACACCCGTGCAGCAAAAGGCTGCCGGGGTAGCTTTTGAGTGTGCGCAGAGGTGGTGTTCACACATTCTGTTGTTTTACAACCCCCGCGCGATTTTACCCCCCAAAGTGAATGGTGGTGGACGGTGTAAACAAAGACGGGTAAACATATATCACAAAATAATAGAGAATTTTGGGTGAGATCGCTTAAATATAAATGTGTCGTTAAACCCGAAACGCCACTGTACTCGAATTGTATTGTGGGTTTACTCTGCAATACACCTGTGTGCTGTACTAGTAACGAATGGCATGTTTTGTCTACGTGACAAACATCACTAATTGGCTGCGTCGGGTGGTGGCGGGTTTAACGACACATTTATATATACGCGACCTAACCCCAAAAAAACCCTGTATTATGGATACTATTGGTCGCGAAAGCCTACGTGTTAAATATCACGCAACATTAGCAACGTCTATGGCGACGAATCTCAAATATACAGCTTGCATATACAGTGCTTGAACAATGATCGTCATGGTTAGACAAAGTCACAACGTTATTTAATATACGCTACGTACACTAACAATGACCTCTACCTTGAGTGTTACCGACGGCACCGTTGTACATGCGTACAGGTGACTCGTATCGATGGCAAGTTAACAAATCAATGAAACACAACTTTTCGAAAAAGAAAATCCTGAGAAGAAACGATTCACATACGCGTGTTCCCCTAGCACACCGTGAGGAGGTGTTGTAAAAAAATAAAACAGAGGTGGCTCTGCACTCCAGGTTTTATTCGCGCAGAGCGGCATATTCCTGGTCGGCCGCTCGAGGTTGAGTGATCGGATTCCTGCTCTCACACATGGAGCCCGATGGGCAACGCATTCGGGCGCAATTCCCAGACAGCCCTCCAATGAGGGGCAAAGCTAAATTAAGGGGAGAGTTTTTAGTGATTTTTCATCGTTTTCCAAAAAACCTAATGCCAACAATTCAGTGCCGGATGATCCTAGTAGCAAAAGTAGCTACAAATGTAGCAGCTACGGGCCCCGAACTTTCAAGGGCCCCGCGCTATAAATGCTTTCAAGCTATCAATTCCGGTTCAGTAATTCTGCACTTGCTCTATTACTATAGTACTATACCGCCTTCAACTTTTACGAACGACTGGGTGTTTAAGGTTAGCGATTAGTTGTATTATCTGGCTGTATAGCAAATGAAAGAATACAATTACTTTACTATGCAAGTTAAAAATGTTTTAATGTGTTTTTTTTAATTTAGGGCCCCTCTATAACATATCCTACAGGCCCCGCACTTGCTACATAATCCGGCACTGCAACAATTGCAATTCAACAAAAGTGCACCATTTAATACTGAATCGATAACTTTGTTACAACACAAATGGGAAGCTATCTTCTGCGAGGCCGATCTCAATGCATACGCCATACGCACAAACCTCTCACTTCTTGAGACCTCACTGCAGCTTAACTCCTCTTACGTCTCCTGCTTAGCACCTTGCTGGCTTTGGTCATGTGGCCCACATGGTCAAGCTACAGTGCATATGGATGCGGTGACAGTTCAGAACATGGCTCAAAATATTAAACCGGATTCTGAATCGTCCCATTCATAATCATTTGGTCATAAGATACCGAAAATGTTGGCTGCAATGACCAATGACCAGATTTTCCAATCCCTGCATGGTGCTTACTGTTGGGGATGGTTGCTCTTGGGCAGCACTCGTCAGGTAGCTCTGCTGCTGGTAGTTGTGTTGGTGCTAATGCCGGTAGTGTTGATGTTGTTGCTGGAGGTTGTGGTGCTAGTACTGGTGGTGTTGATGCCGATGGCAGAGATCGTGCTCGTGTTAGTTGTTGAAAAGTGCTGGTGGTGCTGCTTGTGCCGATCGTTGGTAGTGCAGGAGGTAGTAGTGCTAGTGGTGCTGCTGATGGTGGAGGTTGTGGTAGTGCTGATGGCGTTGGCAGCCCTAATAGGTGGTTGGCAGTGGTGCCGGTGGTGGTCAAAGCGGTGCCGCTGGTGTTATTTGTTGGCAGTGGTGCCGGTGCTGGTGAGAGTGGTGTGCGCTGGTATTATTTGTTGGCAGTGGTGGCGAGAGCGGCGAGGGGCTACGGCGCCGCTTTGGGGCCACGCGTCGTCAGGGCAGGTTGATGCCGTGCTGCTGCAGTTTGGAGCGAGCGGCGCCCGGGAGCCGGTAGGTGCCGTCCGCGAAACCGGGCCCGACCATGCCGCTCCGCTGGGACGGGCTCACCTGGAAAAACACCTCCTGCGCCGGCGTCTGGGCGCCGTACACGCACGCCGTGCTGCTCCTGGGTCACAGTGCGCCCAACCGGGAGGGGGGTGGGGGCGTGCATCGTTTAACGTTTCATTCTCATGGCAGCACGTGACGGCAAAGGTGCAGCCCTGTAATTACTTGGTCTCGGCCACTGCTGGCAGAAGGGTCTCCACTAGGGGGAGCTCTATAAGGTATATTGACCCACTCTTCCACACTGGCCAGACGTCTTGAAAGAGGTCGGAGTACCCACATTTTACCCCATCGCACAGTTTTTGCCATATGAATATACTTGCCCCATGCACAGGGATGTGGAATTTCCGCCACTGCCTCAGTGTGAAAAATGAGACTAGCACCATCCCACACTTGTTTTGAGTGACAAACCATTTTGTGTTTTTGATATAGAGTAACTCACGATTTCTTCCCAACATTTAACTGCTCGGGCTAGCTGCCCAAACCAGTTCTTAATGCCAGCTCAGTGGCATGAACTTCACGCACCCCAGAGCACAATGCCCCAACTACTACCTGAGTGTTATCTCCGTGATGGCTGGAGAACGTCGGAACTCGGAATGCATGAGGGAGGCAGCACGGCACAGCTCACGCTCTGGCGTGGACGCACCTGTACAGACACAAGCAGAGCAGAGGGAAAGATCACCTGTGTAGCCAAGTGCTGTTCGCGAGCACCAATGAAGGCTGGAACAGCACACAATGGGGTGGGGGAGGCGAGCACCATGTCCAGCCACCTTTGTCTCCACGGTGGTGATGCTTATTACACACCGCACATTTCAGGCTCAGTCAACCTAGGGGAGGCCCACGATCGGTTCACATATCACCTCGGGTCGCCGGGTTCATATGGCAGTGCGCTGACACTACGACTACTGCTTCGCACACGTAAATACATATATATGCGTACACTCACACACACCCCCCTAGTGGCCACTTCTATGGTAAATTAGACTCCCATGGTAAACTAGACTTGTAAAATGGACTTCCACGGTAAACTGATATTCTATTGTAAACTGGACTCCCATGGTAAACTGGACTTTCATAGTAAATTGAGATATCATGGTAAACTGACATTCCATAGTAAACTGGACTCCCATGGTAAACTGCAGATGCCTGGTTATCGCACGCACATGCGTACACAGGTATCAACAGATGAACGCGCACGGCCGAGTGTGAGCACACACAGGCGCGCACGGGCGCACACAAACGCATCCATTTCGCCGATGTCTGCGCGTTGTCATTTTGACGAAACGTCACGCGTGCGAGCGTGCGAGCGTGCGAGCGTGCGAGCGTGCGCGCAGCCTCTGCCGGTCTGCGTGATCGGTGGTGACGTGACCCCCCGCGTGGCTCGGACGCCACCCCCGCTGCGTGCGACGCGTCGACTCGGACGTGCACCCCCCCCCCCCCCCCCATGCAGGAGATAAAATTGGCAAATAAAATCTGAATAAATAAATGCAGATGCACGGCGATCACACGTCAGCAGCGGACGCGGCGATGGCAGATGACATTTCACACGCCGTACAGTGTCACGTACTCTACATTTTCACACGGCGTCTTGAAATTTAGTTGCATTTGCACGCCATTTAAATCCAAATGGGATTGGATTTTTAAAATCATATTTTTACTGCAAGCTTGCTCATAGATAATAAACACAATGCATGTACAGTTGCGTATAATTCAATACCGTAACAGCCCACTGAGACACAAGATCATTTGCAAAGATGATCCCGGTAAAAAAATATTCATTTTTCTAAGCTATTCGTGTTTAAGTCAAATACAAAATGTGAAACTTAATATTTACTCTGCTATGTCTAGTATTTTGTAAAAAGAGACTTGCAGTGAAGGCATTCTAAAAAATATATCTTTCTATGGAATAATTGCAATCAGTGGCTTAGCTGCCTCCTCGTTAATTGCATGATAATCCAATTACAATGCAAAATGCAAATGGCTGACGAAAATGTTAATTGCTCAGCATTAGAATGGACATGTTATACAAAACTGGCATGGAACAACAATGCATCAATTATTTGATTAAAATAGATAATTATATGCATGATACACATATGGAAGAGTACGAATCTATTATTTACGATTCATGCAAAGTTTATGCAAATAATGTGCAAATGCACCTGAGGGCTAAGGCAACGATTGAGACAGAAAACGAGAGGCAGTGCACAAAAAAAAGAGGCAAAGAATATAAACGCAAACAATACAGACAAGACAAAACGGAGACAAATAATAGATTTTGGGGTGTGCACACTGTCACAACACCTACGGGCATTGTGACCGGTAGAAACGTTGCACCCGTGGCCGTACACCACGAGGGGAAGGGCAGTAGAATGGAGCACGTCGTGCATGGGGAAATAAGCAAGGACCAGGAGAGGGATTACCGGGATGGAAGTCTCCAGGAAGGACAAGATGAGCGGGAGGAAGTGGAGGAGGAGGAGAGCTGGGCAGGCAGGCAGGCAGGAGGAGGGGGGAAGGAATGAGCAGGCCAAGATGTTGGGGGATGAGAGGGTGATGATGATCATCAGAATCAGTATTTATACTGGAGGAATTCGATGAGCAATGAAACTCTTCATCACAGATGTCCAGTGACCTCGTGATGACAATGAGAGGGAAAGGGAAGAGAGGGAAAGAGAAGGAAGGAGCGAGCAGGTGTGAGCTTCACGGAGCAGCGTCTGTTTTCTGAGGGGGTGGGTAGAGGGGAGGGGTTTAGAGTGGGGGTGGTGAGACACAAATGTCAAGTGATTTACAGAAGACTTCTTATTCAGATTTAGATATATTTTATACATAAAATGTGTAGATTATTTGATTCATCGTTGATTTTTGGCTTTAGGTCAAATTATGTTCTGGCCAAATATGGGCCATCACGACCCTCCACCAGCAAACACAGCTGAAGAAATGAAAATGTCACGTGGCGTACAAGCGTTTAACGCACAAAGTATGTAACTTGCTGACCCGCCCCCTATTGGACATCCGTGACGGAGAGCTTCAGAGGTCATCGAATTCCTCCAGGATAAACACAGAGTCCGAAAGTGTTATCGTGTCAAGCTCACCGGTAAGTTGAAGAACAATTCTCACAACCACCTGTCGCGAATGGATGGTATTACCGTTTATCCTTCTGTTGTCAATGCTTATTAGTGCCGGTGTTGTTCCCCATTAAAGGGAACGACGTCCGCTTCGCAGCACACGTTGAAGATCCTGCGACGTCATTTCTAGAAGAGTAGGCCGTCGTGTGTCAGCGGCATGATCCAAATTTGCTATTGGAAGGATTTGATAAACCATTTCGGGTCTTAATTGATTGTTCACGCTTACGGTGGCTTTCAGACCGCATCCATTATTTTCGTCTCCCCCCTCCTCTTTTCCCGAACATAGATGGACTCGTCCAACTGAATAACTGCCAAATCGCTCTCCGTGGTGCTAACGTAAAAAAAAAACCGCCACTTTTTTCAAATTTTCTTGCTGTGGTTTTCACACCTGATGATGATTGCTTGTGTTGCAGTCGAAACGTCGTGATAATTGTATTGTTTTATATTTTTATTATTGTATTGTTTCCCTTCTACGTGACTTTACCGAAAGAACCAAGAATATGAATCCCTGCAGTCACGAAAGCTTTAAATCAAAATTTGTCAAGGATTACTCGCAACGTTACTCAATCGGGCAACGCGAAGCGGCTATCACCCCCACACTACGAAAAATCTAGAAGGACGCTCGGTGGGAAAAAAAAAATACTCAGTGAGGATTTCCTGAATTTGTGTAACCATGATAATGGTAAGATAATAAGGGATTACCCCCCCCCCTTTTGTATGTTTAGAGAAATATCACTTCATAACCATAATCTATAGTGAGGGAACACCCCCCCCTCCCCACAGCTATTTGACACAAATACTGCCCTCTAGCTCAGTGCAAAGGTGTTTAGTTTTGCATGGCTTCTCCATTTGTCCATATTTGGCTGGCAATGTCCTTCCATGCCAACAAAACAAAATCACGAATGCACATGGACAGGGACATACTGAGTCTGTCTTCAGGTGATGGAAACAGCACTAAACCAAACAAGTCAGCCGGCAACTATCCCAAATTCAGCCGCCTTGCAGACTTGTAGGGAAAATGCTGCGAGCTGGTCTGGAACACGGAGGGGCGATTGCGGCCGAAAAACACATTCTGTACCTTGGTCTTTCCCAGTGCTGGTGTCTTACGCATTGCAAAAAGTACTCACTCGAGGCTGAGGTTCCCCAGAGGGATGACCATGACAGGTACAGATGCCACTTTCCACGAACGATATCAAATGACCGGGAATTGAAGCGAGTGCACCGGCTTCAGAATGCATTGTGCAATCCACTGCAGTGCCGTTGAAGCACACAACAAACACGCAGATCCCCCCCCCCCCCCCCCCCATGTGACCTTTAAAAGACTGCTGAGGTGTTATTTGGGAGCACCTATGAAGGCCGGCACAGCACCACGAAGAGGTGGGGTGGCCAACATCACACTCGGTAACCTCTGTCTCCCCAGTGCTGATGTTTTACACCGCACCAGTTACTAATTTAAGGTTGAGCCGACCTAGGAGATACCCAAACCACAGTGCTGCTACACATGCTCACTTGTACAGTAAACATGGGCACCACTCCAAGAACATAGAGTACTTAAATGCATGCATAGTTATCTCGAGATACACCCTCTTAGCCATCGTAAGTCTGCATGCCAAGTACTGCTGGCACGTGCCTATTACAAATGTCACGGGACACACACGGGTAGCGGAGCCAGAGCCAATCCAGACGTGTCAGAAGCTGCTGTTGACACACGGAACCAAATATTACGTGTCCAGTAGAGCGGGCGCAGTCACACACACACACACAAACACACACACTCAGGTGGTGCTAAACCTAAAGGAAGACAACGACCGAACCCTGCCAAACAGATGGACCCCTCCGCATGTCGACACCACGGCACAGACAATTTTCTATTGAGAGTCCAGGTTGGGCAGGGTGGGGGGGAACGGTGTGGGAACCTTGCATCTCTCCGCTCCCCAGACGCGGCACATTTGTTTACTTCCTCCGGTGGAAGACAACAAAAAATGTGAGATGGAACCCAAATAAATATGCTCCGTAAACAGCCCCGTACCCTCAATCCATGCTGCTCCTAAATATACGAAACGTGGATTTCATGGTGTGGAGTTCTCCCCGAGCCCTTACATTTCCAGCTTTTGATGTGCCCTTAATGAATCCATAACTGAAGAGTGCAAATTAAAGTAATTAGCACGTGCCATAAAAAAACACCCAGCGTGCATTTGTATGACATTTATCCAAACCACTTCTCTGCCTCAAATTAACAGCTTCCGTAGCTTCCAGGCAGCCAGCACTTGGCACAGGGAAACAACGGTTCAGTGTGGATTGCACGACTGGCAATGATGATAGTCGAGTGCCGATTGGCTGGCTCTCAGCATACTCAACCCTGAGACATGTAGCAAATCCACTACGATATACGGCCAATCTGGTGGCTCGTGCTCTGACGCACAATTCGTTGACCACGATTCATTGCGTTCGACTTAAAAGCAACATGGGCTTGCAGACATGGGGGTGCTATTTGTTGTTCATCAGGAGCATGGGGTGCAGA